AGAACAATTGCATGACCAAGAAATGTTTGAGATGGTTGAAAAGGGAATGAGAGGTGGTATGTGTCAGGTAAGTCATAAATTAGCGGTGGCAAATAATAAGTATATGGGGGAAGCATATGATGAGAACAAGCCATCAAATTATATTAGTTACTTGGATGCTAATAACTTGTATGGTTTAGCAATGTCCCAGAAGTTACCGCTAAAAAATATCAAGTGGGCAAAGAAAACGCCCAGTGTTGAAAAATGGAATGAAAACGATGAGTTCGGTTATATTATGGAAGTTGATTTGGAATATCCCGAAACATTGCACGACTTCCACTCTGACTATCCACTAGCGCCTGAAATAATGAATGTAAATGTTAGTATGCTTTCTGATTATCAAAAGCAAGTCTACAAAATATATTATGATGGCAAAAATCCCAAGGATGAGAAAACAAGTAAGTTAATATTAAATCTAAAGGATAAAGAAAAATATGTGGTTCATATCAAGACTTTACAGTATTATTTGAAAATGGGATTGAAAATGACAAAAGTCCATAGGATAATAAAATTTCAACAGAGGGCATGGTTGAAACCGTGGATTGACTTCAACACTGGTAAAAGGAAAGAAGCCAAAAGCGATTTTGAGAAAGATTTATTCAAATTAATGAATAACGCGGTGTACGGAAAAACTATGGAAGACAAAAGAAACCATATGGACTTTGAACTGGTTGATAATGAGGTAAGATATGAAAAATGCGTTAATAATCCAACTTTCAAAAATAGATTTATTATTAATGAAAATCTCGTCGGAGTTGAGAAAACTAAAGCAAAACTGAAACTGGATAAACCGATTTTCTTAGGAATGAGCATTTTAGATTTAAGCAAATTACATATGTATCAGTTTTATTATGAAGTATTGAAAAAGAAGTATAATGAAAACATCAAATTGATATATACTGATACTGACAGTTATGTAATTCAAACAATGACTGATGATGTCTATAAGGATTTCAATGAGATAAAGCAACACATGGATTTTAGCGACTATCCTGTTGAGCATCCATGTCATGACAAAACTAATAAAAAGGTCTTAGGAATGTTTAAGGACGAAGTGAATGGAAAAATCATTACTAAATTCATCGGATTGAAACCTAAATCTTATGCCTTCACAATTCATGGTGAGGATGATGAACATAAGAAATCAAAAGGTGTAGTCAAACACAAAGTGAAAAAAGAACTGTCGTATCAGAACTACCACGAAGCATTATTTCAAAACAAAAAGCATGAAATCACATATAACTTCATCAGAAGTAAGTCGCATCAAATATATTCAATGTCTCAAGTCAAGCAAAGTCTGAGTAATTATGAAAATAAAAGGTTTTATAGTGATGCTTTCACTTCATTACCATATGGGCATTATTCCATAAAATAATTATCTAGATAGTTCTAATAATATGAAATTATTAGAATTATTTTCAGGGACAGGCTCGGTTGGTCGGGTTGCTCGGGATTTGGGTTTTAGTGTTATTTCCCTTGATTTGAAAAATGCAAATATCAATACTGATATTTTGAGATATTCTCGTTTCTCTTGTCTTATAAGTATATTGGGTTTGGGATTGGGTTTGAAACTGGAAATGTGGGTTTGGGGATGAGGTTGAAACTGAACATATTGAAGTTTATGTGTTTGTTGGTTTTGGGGGAGTTGAGAAATGGGAGATTTGGTCCTTGTTTTGGTGGGATTGGGATAACAACAAAAGCAAAAGACCCACAATCCCTACCCGCTCCCTCAACCAAAACCTCATAGACGACAGTGTTGAAGGCGATGTTCTGAATGACGTCTCAACCTCAGGACAGAGCAAATGTGGGGAGCGGTGGGAGAAAAGGGGGTGGTGGTGGTGTTGGTGGTGGTGGTGTACCCCGATTTTGGGGTAAACCTTACCCCATTACCCCGATTTTGGGGTAGCCCTTACCCCTTACCCCAGCTTTGGGGTACCCCTTACCCCGTTTTTGGGGTAGACCTTACCCTTCTCTCAGTATAAACCTTACCCTTGCCCAGATTTCGGGGTAGACCTTACCCTGACTGAGGGGTAATCATCACACATATTTTTGTGGTGAAGATAACAAGTAGAGCGTCATTACAATTTTATATTGAAAAAATAGTTGAAGAAATAAAACAGACTATGAAACGATACGAAATCATTACTATAGAACATATTACATTTGAAATTTATACATAACAGAAACAATGATTTCATGGCTTAATCATAATATTTAATTATAATATGATTAAACATTGTTTTATAATCTAACAAGAAGGTTAAGACATTTAAATTAAACCTGAAACCCAGACCAGCCGACCAGCAACCCCCTAGCCAAAACTACTTAAAGAAATATTACCTTATATATTAAGAGAAAAATGAGTAAGGGTAAAATGTCAGAGAATAATTTTATGGTTGTGAATTGCGCTAGCTTACCTGAAGGCTTAGTTTCAATCATCACTACTTACATTAATGGTAGTGAAGGGTGGCGAAGACTGAAACAGTGTAAAGCATTAAGGGTCTTACAAAGGAAATGGAAACCGTCTATTTACACTGAACGAGTAGGAGAAAGTAGATATTATGTTGAGATTCGCAATAAATGCTTAAAAGGTGATAAAGCGCTTTCATATGCGTTGAAACCACCAAAAGAATTATTAAGAATGATGAAGTATGATGAAGAAATACAGGTTGGAATAGAAGTTAGTTCGAAAATTATGTATCATAATAATATTAGCAACTGTCGTTCTTATTCATCATCTAAACAGAATAAGATTTCAAGTAGAGCGTCATTACAATACCATATTGAACAAGCAGTTGAAGAAACCAAACAGACTATGAAACGACACGAAATCATTACTATCGAACATGTTATAATTGAAATTTATAGAAAACAGAAACAATGATTTCATGGTTTAATCATAATATTTAATTATAGTATGATTAAACATTGTAAACTTTTATAACCTTTCATTATACTGTAATTTTAACCTATAACAAAATTTCATTAACAAAACATATATCAAAACAAATACAACACCAACACCCCAGAACTTGATAACTACTAAAAGGGCTACCTCTTTCAAATGAAAAAAATGTCTGCCCCCAGCCCAACAATGAACAAGGCGACAATTTACCCAAATGATTACCTTAACGAAAACGATAAATAAGCTCCCCAAAAACCCTCTATTAAAAACGAATAAGGGGGAACACAGATTTGAGATGAACATAAAAACCAGAACAGGCAACCATCAACAGGCCACCCCCCAGGCCCCCTACTTTTACCATTTTTTCCCGGCGCCTCTGCCACTTGGCGTCTGCCCGGGCATCCAGGCGGGTCTCTTCCAAGCGGGCTGCAGCCGAGGGGGACCTGGGCATCGGCAGCTCCTTCTCGTCCTGCGCCCGGAGCTTTTTCATGGGCACGTCCTCCTCCGGCGGGTTCAGGAGCTCCAGGAACGCCCCTGGGGGGCGTGTCAGGGCCTTCGGCACCTGCGCCACCCCAGGGGCTGCATCTTCCATCGGCTCATCCTCTGCCTTGCGCTTGGCCGGGATAAGAGGGGTCTGCTCCAACTCATCTGCGCTGGAGAAGAAACGCTCGTCAGGTGCCTGAGGGACCTCGGCAGCCAAAACGGTCCATCCTTCTTCCTCCCTCTTCACGAGGCTCGCCAGGTACTTTGCCATGGAGGCCTTTGCCTTAGCCTTAGCCTCTGCTACCGCGGCACCAGCGTAGGCGGGGGCGTACATGGCTTTGAGAGAGGGGAAAGAAAGATTTCAAATCACACGACCAAAGATCAAAAGGTCCACTTGAGCCAAAATGGTGGCCCAAGTGGATACTTATTAAGAGTCAAGACAAGCGACCACCTACGGTTAACGCTTTAGCCCATTTAAAAAGAACGATGGTGGAAAAGAATGGGGAATGAACCCCTAGAAAAATCCCCCCTCAACTTGCTGGTGCTCCCCTACAACCCCCCCCGGAGTTGACTCGTTCCTGGGGGTTCGCACGAAGTGGAGTGGTTATTGAAACTCCCCCTTAACTTGCTGGTGCGATAGGTAGGGAATGAACTTTTCAGGGTGTTGGGAATGAACCCAGGGGTCTCCTTAAAGGAAACCACAAAAAATGCCCAAAAAAAAAAGGTTTGTAGTGTCCATAATGAAGAGGCGTTCCCAAACAAAATCCGTCTGACCAATTCCCAGGCGACCAGGAACCTCCCCACGGAACTTCGACCTCCTCCCCAGAATCTGTGTGTACAAATCGAGGATTGGCGGATCGACTTGCTTTGTCATGCACGTTCCCCCGAACAAAGAGTCAAAGGGAAATTTGGGGACTAGTTTCCAGTTGGAGCTTCCCTCTTTGGGATTCGCTTCCACTTTGGAAAACAAATCTGGAAACCAATCCCAAAGAGTAGCCCCTGACAGCCGCCAAGATTCATTTTTCGAACCCCTGGCCGCCGGAAAGCCACCCACCGTCCCAAGCTCAGTTTGGCGAAGAAGCCCAGCTGTAGCCGTGGAACAAGCGACTCTCAAGTGTCATGTCTGTCAATCTGGGTGTCGTTTCGGGGCACCCGAAGAAAGAAAAAAAGTGTGTGTGAAAGGAAATCAAGGGGAAAGCACTCACTTTGATCGTGCCGTAGTCTTTGAATCTCAGTTTCCAAAATGATCGGTGGGCAGAAACCCCCCCCCATGTAAGAATGTCCCCAATTCGTGGCTAATACCCACACAGCAGTTGCACTCTTCTGAAATGATCATTCATATCCCGTGATGATCCATACTCGGTTGCTTTCTGCTCCCCTGCTAAAAGCTTAGCTTTTAGTGGTTTGGCAAAAAACTAACATCCTAACATCCAAGCAAAATGCACCAAAGCATAGATCCCCGGTAGCCCTGGTCTGGATTTTGATCCATCATCGGGTCCGGTCACGCGGAAAAGTTGCCCAGGCCAGACGCCACGCGGTCGGCATCGCCAAATCGCGCCGCCAAATCGCGCGCCTGGTCCTTGTGGGCTTCAGCCTCGCATTTCAATGGCCCGTGCCATTTGGCCGTGGCTCAAATAAACGGCACCAAAATGGCTCTTTGGTAAATGGAACCAAAGACTAAAACCTGCGGTTGGCCCTAGCTCCTTAATTTTGAGCCACACCAGTTTGGTGCCCGCGGCTTGGCTCTGGCCTTGTGTGCCTTGTTTAGAGTGGCTGCTGTATGGGAGTTTTCAGAAAGGAAACCAAAGGGAAACGTCCACAGGGAAAAGATCTCCTGCTTAGAGGTGCAGCAACGTCGAAGGCTCAGAACATGGGAGTATGTGGGTGCCTTGGAGTCTTGATGCGCGCCCAGCAACACGATTCAAGTTACTGCCTGGCAGAAAAGCCTCTTTCCTTGGTGACAATGGCTACTGCTATGGACTAGGCGATATGGTGAGGTCGCTGAAGCCCCTTCTGAGGCTATTGGCCCTGACAAATGCTAGCCATAGACACCTCAAGGAAGTAGACCATGATGTCATCCACGTTCTCGACCATCATCGGACCCGTGGACGAACTCTGAAAGTCGCAAATGATCCTCGGTCTTCACAGCTGCTTTCACAGATCTCTTGTACACTTCGGTTGAACCGTCCCAGCAACCGCCTGCTCATCGCAAAAGGGCACCTTGCCGCTGCAACCGCTGTTGAGGAGGGGTGGGCCAAAGGGTTGGGGGCTGGGTGGGGGGAGGGGGGGGATTGGGGTGTGGTTCTTGTTTTCTTGGCCAATCACAACACGGATCCAATCACGTCTCAATGCTCAAGCCTGGGTTTGTATTACAGCCACTTCCTATTCGGCAACCGGCTTTGCTTGACACCTACGGTGAATAGATCCAGGTCATCGCAGTATCGACGGCCTTCTTGGCTTCTCTTTCTTAAGGGCGCGAGTTTCACCTGGAAGCCGGGGAAAAGTTGTTGCTTTTTAGGGCAGCCGATTGGTTGCGGTAGCCTGTCTACGCTCAGTTTACACATGATACACATTCTTGCCACAGGTGTGGAAATCTTGGGCGTGGCCTGTATCTTCCATTTTGTTACCGCAGAGTAAGGACCAGTATGTTTCGGTCAAGAATACTGGTCGATACGTGGGCCTCGGCAGCCTTGGTTACAAAGCTACCTGGCTTCCCTTTCCGTGCCGCCCCGCCCCAAAGCCCGCTGAATTAAAGGCACAGACACCCCAGGAAAAAAAATGAAAAACAGATTGACCAAATTCTGGGATCCCCAGTTCATTCCGTCCAAAACCACGAAACAAATATCCCCCCCCCCAAAAAAAAAAGGCGTCTCAGGCTGAACCGGGCACTCGGCTCCTGCTTCTCCAGCCCAAAAAAAGAAAAACGCCGCCGCCGGCACACTTGACCGAGCCGCACAAGCACTGCCTGCTGGCCGAACTTCTTGGACAACGCCTGAAGGATTGGTAGCAGGTTCTGGGGGGGGGGCTGTCCGAGAGACGGGTTGGGCCCTTCCTTGGGCCCATGAAGCTTTTGCCGCAAAGAGAACGGAAACCATTTTTGAGAGGCCGCCGATTGGTCCGGAATTAGGAATTCAAGAAACAGGGAACTGGGCTGCGATCACCTTGCTGGCCTTTGCTTATCGTGAAGCCGCGCAACCTACGAAAAAACCGGCGATCATGCAGGAGGCAACTTGAAAATCATTTTAGCGAGGCAGGCTTGAAGCCATGTCCAGGGTGAGTCCAAGTTGGTTGCTCTGGTGCATTCTGGAAATCGCTGGGACATACTGTTGTAGAGCTGATGAGCGGGTGTAACACTCTTTAACGTACTGTGGATGGACAAAATTGCACCACCTGAGAAACCTCGCCGCTCGCCGTCGCGCGTCAAAGGGCCTGGCTGAGCTCCCAAGCTCGGCCAAGCTCGTAGGTGGTCGCAACCGCCCGGACAAACAGCAGGGTGTCCCCAGACTTCCCTAGCACGTTGAAGCGCTCGAACTGCTGCTCGAATTTGCTGCGGACCTCAGGGAGATACTTTCAAAGAGAGAGATATATATATATATATATACACATATGTATATAGATATATATATATATGTCTATGTATATATATATATATGCTCACCCCCCCCCCCGGGCCTACCTTTCCACTTCAAAATGTACGAAACCCTCTTATTTTTAAAGACAGGGGGTGTGAGCATATATACGCAAGAAGTGTGCTGTTGCTGCATATTTTTTGTGGGTGACAAGTCATGTTGAGTAACAACAGCAAAGAGTTTGTAAACTTACAAGACAGTTTATAAAGCATGTCAAGGGTTTGACGGTTTCCCTGCAACAAGGGCAGGGGGGGGTCAGAACTCTTTACGTGGGGGGGGGGGGGGGGGGGGGCTCAATAAGGTTTATAAACTTTCCTGAAAGTTTATAAACCTTCTGTAGGCTTATTGCGTAGCAAGTGGAGACTGTTGTTTGGGAAAAAAAGGACACTCATTTGAGGCCTTGTTTGATGTGGTTTGGGCATGTGGTCCTAAAAGGTTGATGATTGTGTGTGGGTGTGTCATCACTGCTGCACTGTTATATCAAAGGCTGTCCATTCGGTCCAAGGGAACACAATCTGAGCAACTGCTGCAAAACACTGTGTTTTACAGCATTTTGTTGGATCTCTAATCCCTTCAAATGTCCAATTTGAAACACCTGAAACCTAGAATCTGGAGATCAGAATCCTTGAGATGTGTAATGTTGGATTCTCCAAGCCTCATAATTTGGAGCCTGGAGTACTCCAACACGAATTGAATTGGAATGTTGAAGGGGGCAAAATGTTGTTTGGGAAATGAACAATCTTCGGCCCAAGGGAACACAATCTGAGCAATTTCTTCAAAACACTTTGTTTTACAGTTTTTTGTTGGACCTGCAATCCCTTGAAATGTCCATGGTGAAGCACCTGAAACCTAGAATCTGGAGATCCGAATCCTCGAGATGTCTAGTGTTGGATTCTCCAAGCCTCATATTTTGGAGCCTGGAGTCCAACATATCCAAGTACACATTCCTTTCCAAATACGATTTTGATCCGAATTGAATTTGCATATTGAATAGAATTTAGTAAGCACATAGTTCACCACCATTCATAATTCACCATAATGTCTATATTAGATCAGAATTTGAACAGGAATACCTTTCCAAATAAGGAAAATATGATTGCAGTAGAATCCAAATATACTTTAATGCAGACAGAATTCAATTAGCTTTTGAACATAATAATTTAATCAAGAATCCATCCCCAAATACAGCTTGAATTGGAATATAGCTTATTCTGGAAAGAAATCACTTGGCCTTTGCAATCAAATTTTAATAGTAACTCATTCCCAAATATGATTTAGCTTAAATGTGGCTAAACAAATAAAGGGCACATATCCCCAGACTCCCAAACTTGGTCTGGAGATGTGTTTGGCATGTGCAGGTCTCAGAGCTTTCATTTTCAGGAGATTTTGTGCTTTTGGGTCTGTGCAGGTTGCAGAGCTCAAAGCTGCCAAAAACATCATTTTTTCAATGTTTTTCCCTGGTGTACTCAAAAACCACCGTAAAAACCAGTGATTCAATCAAAGCCAGGCTCGAATCTGAAAACGGAATCCGTTTTCGCTTTGCTGCCTTTCAAGCCTCAAATAATCCGACATTTGCTGTCACATAGAAGGTAAAAAAACAACAAAAACACTGTATTTTACAGTGGTTTCAGGCATCTGCAAGAAAGAGGCACACAGAGTAGAGTTGACACCTTCAACTAGAAGAGGGCAAAGGTAGGCCCGGGGGGGGGGTGACCATACATATATATATAATATATATACAGATATACCTGAGAGAACCTTGAGTTGGTCTGGGGGCAGACTCCCCAAAAGCCCGCCAGAAGCTTTTGGGGAGGAGCAGCTCCACAGAACAGGGGTCCGGAAGCGAACCGGGTGATGCGGGAAAGTCCGCAAAGGCAAAAGTCTAGGGGCAACTTCCCCATTCTGTCCGGGGAACGGGATTTTTGTAGCAAACCACCAAAAATCCTGGGAATGGCTGGCTTTTGAAAAGAACGATGGCTGAAAAGAATGGGGAATCAAGCCCTAGAAAAGTGTCAATAATGCAGGAGGGGGGGGTGCAAGAGGGGCTCTGCTTCTGAGGGAGGAGCAGACTCCCAACAAACAACAGATATGGAAGAGGGGTGTGGGAGGGTGCTGTGGACTCCAAATAACCGCGTTTTCGCGAGAGCAAAGCCAGAAGGGCGCTCAAGCACTGTCATGGATGCCGAGGTGATGTGGGGGAACTTACATGTGATGCTGAAGATGAACATTGTCATGGATGCTGGGAGGGAACAGTGTCATGGAGATGCAGGAGATGTGACAAATGGCTCTCTCTCTCTCTCTCTCTCTCTCTCTCTTTATATATATATATATATAGATATGCATATGCTTGTAATACTCTAGACAATGGATGGCATTGACACTAAATTCAGGGTCGGTGAAAGAAGTTGCAAGGAATCATATAGAATGGATTTGCATAGCATGTGTCTTGCTTGACGTGCAAGTTCAATGACACACACACACACACACACACAGTCATTTGGAATTATAGTATTTTTAAAGTATTTTGAAAGTGGTGCTCATATCTGTCATATATGCATTGTGCATTTGATATTCATGGTGGTACATTTATAAGTGATGATGCGTCATTGCTGAAACATGCAACATATAGAGTAACACCATGTTCAAACATGTTAAATGTTGGAGGATCCATTTGCCAATCCTAGACATTCTTATACTATACGGCCAGCAGTTTTGCTTGAACATCAATATGGGGGTGCAAATGGGCCTGTGGGACCACCTGTAAAATTAAGAGTCAGCAAGCCGGGTCACGTGTCGGCGAATTCCCAAATTGCTGGATGGGCTCTCTTGCTGGTGCTCAGTGGGGATGAGAAATGGAATGACCCCTATAAACCATCCCTTGTGGTTTCGTTTCAGGATTTTTTCTGGGTTTTACTCCCACATTCCCTACCTATCTCACCAGCAAGTCTTGCCAACTGACTTTTCCAGCTTTCCAGCCTTTGGGTCCGCAGGATCGTCATGCCAGAAGGAGTGCAGATGCGACCGACACATCATCAATGAGGTGCCGGGCACTTCTCTCCTGCATCCCGAGGCTGGCATGGCTTGCGTGCGGCATTTCTCAGTGTCCGCCCTAATTGCTGTCTCGCTTGTGGCCTCTCTCTGGTTGTGCCTTTGCTCGTGACAAGCACGAGCAAGCCATTGCTGCATTCTCTCCTTTCATGGGTAAGATCTTTTTAAATATGTTTTTTTCCCAGTACCCCAAAAAGGGTACCAACCCCCCAACAGTTCAGGCACCTGCTTGAGCTTGGGGCGGGTTTAAAGGCAAAACGAAAGAACCCCCCCCTTCAGGCCCTCATTTCAAGGGTTCCGAAAAACGGACAAACCCAAACTTCTGGACAGCACATCTTTGGTGGACGCAAAATGACAAATCATGCTAGAAGCGAAAAATGGAGTGGTTGGGAAAGAACTTCAATCAGCGGGCTCTTAGACCTGCGAAGGTGGCCTTTCCAATGGTTATATTCAAAGTTCACGAAATCACCCGAAAAAGATGTTGCACCCCCCCGCGTCCGCTAGCTTCCGTTGGCTCCTGGTGGCAAAGTCAAAGAAGCCTCGCTTCTCCATGGGCCGCTGGCCCCCGGCCCCCAGCCCTTCCCGGATCGGGGCCTTAGTGTGGAATCAGGGAGCCCATGCACGAGTAAATGTGGGTGTGGCTCAAAATTAAACAGGAGGGGTGACGCAGGTTTTGGTCCATGTTTCCACTTACCAGGGCAACCCATTTTGGTGCCGGTTTTTTGAGCCACAGCCATATCAACGAAGAGAAAATCGAATACAATCCTGGCCACATGTGGGACCTTGTGCAGAGCACCCAAGGAGGCACATTGCCTGAATGGGCCATCCAAGACATCGCCTGCAGCATCTGCCATTGTTTCACGTGGGTTTCCTCGGAAAGTAAGATTGAAGTCAAGTAGCCAACTCTCAACATGCAAGAATTTCATGTCTCACTCAACGACACGCAGTGGGGCCTTGGGGGGGCTTATGGCAGCGCTCATGCTTAGAGGAAGTTGCCCGTGGGGGTTCCAACCTCTCAAACGAGTCTTCCACCTGAGAAAGCTATGCAAGTGAGCTATCTCCAAAATTGAAAGGTGCAAAGACGGAATACTTCGTTTGAACGGAACGCCCTCGTTTCAGAGGGTTTCAGCTCCTTTTCCACCAGAATGTGCGCGTCCTTAGGGATCCCTCACGTCCAAAACGGTAAGCACTAACTCTTGATCCGCATTTCAGCCGCCTCGAAGCCCTTCCGCAAAAAGTGCAGCAACCCCGCGTCGCTGATCCTCGTCTTTTTCTTTCCGCGTGGAGAAAGAGGTTCAAGAGGTGGGCCATAGTCGACAGAGGATTTGCTAAAGTGGGCTAGGCACACCGAAGAACAGAATCGGGAAGGAATATAATGCGGTTGGTACTGGCTTCGATCACAAGTCAGCCTACCAGCTGGGCTTGTCCAAACACAACATGTCACGGGATCGTGCAAATAGGCCTTAAACGTGGCCCCTGGTTTTGCCCACGTAAAAACCGCCGCATGATGGAATTGTAGATCAACCAATGGGCCAAACTTGAGTATTCCTGCATCGGACCATAAGCAACGAACTGAGGTCCCATGCTTGGGACCTTCCAACAAGTTGATTGTCTTTTTGGTTCGCGTACGTGATTTCTACTTCGTGTACATGAAAACAATAATGCGAGGGGGTCTCTGGTTGTGACATGCCCAAATGATTGTATATCAAGTCTAATATGCTCCACTCATATGCTGCGCATGGTAAACTACCGTGGCCAAAAGGCTTCAACTCATGCTCAGGCCTCGTGAAAACAATGGAAGACGCACCTGGCAAAACTGTTTCTTGAGTTAGCAGCAACTTGTGTGAAGCTTTCCGCGCCACGTAGAACGAGCCGAAGGTTCTCACACACTCTCTCGCAATGTCTGAAAGACCCCTTTGCAAGAGGATCCCTAAAGGGCCTCAAGTCCGCCCCCTTTTCGCCGGTGGCGGCGGCCGGCGCTTCGGCATGGGACGCGGCTCCGTCCGGGGCGGTCGGGCGCCTTCGCCGTGGGCGTGCCGCAGCTCAAGCTGCAAGCGCCCCGGGTTGCTGCCGTGCACTTGCACCTGCAGCGCATTCCGTACGGCCAGCCGTCTGGGGCTGCCGCCAAGAAAATGAAAAGACTCCCCTTTTTGCCTTTTTGGTCTTTTGGCTTGTTGGGAACTTGCCATGCGGAAAATGGACAATTGACCATGGGCAATCAGCCGGTTGCCCACGTCTCTCTTTTGGCGCTTGAACGGGTCGAAATCTGCTTGCTCCTGCCTGAACACTCACCCTGATACTGTGGATGGACAAAATCCTGCACCACCTAAGAAACCTGGAAGGACGATTCCCCTGTAAATACCAACAAACAATGGTTTCAACCATGGTTTCCAGGACGTCCTCTAAGCTTGGAGCTGAAACATTGGTGATGCTATTCATGGCATGTCACGCCAGGATGTCAATGTCACACAAGGACAAAGCGATATCTCTTCCCAGACCCTGATTTAAGCTAAATGAGACTTGATTCCACCCCGCCTTGAGCTTCAGGTCCTCCAAAAGGCCAAGCACAGAGCTCTGGACGTTGCGCGTCTGCCAGGAGAATCTCGACTTGCCCCAGCCCGTGATGATCTCAAAGTGGGTGAAGCCTTTCGCCAGTTGTGCCGGAACCCGGCAGGCGAGCCACCATCGCACCACGCAGTGCGCGGCTCCCTGGGAGCAGTCGTGGAGGTCCAAAATGGTGGGCCCGGCCGTGAGATTGGGGTAAATCCCCGCGTCCAAAGCTTCCTGCAGCAAGTGGTCTCCTGCCTCAACGTCACAGAGCGCATTCAGAGCTGCGTTGTAGGAGCTTTGGCTCAATGCCTTCGCCCGCAGCGTGGAAAACAGGCCCAAGGCTTCCTGCCACCGCCGCGCTTGGCCGCAGGCGCTCATGGCGGCATCGTAGCTGATGCTGCTGGGCGTCACCTGCCGCTCTTGCATGAGCCTCAGGGTGTGCAGCGCCAGGTGCCACTGATTGCCTTTCTCCAAGCTGCTGATGAGCGCATTGTAGCTGATGACCGTCGCCTGCAGCGAGATCTCCGGCATGCCCTCGAAGAGGTGAAGGCCCAGCTGCCAGGCCTGGCCCTTCTCACAGGCACTGATCATGGCATTCTGCGCCGTGATGCTTGGAGCAATCTTCCTGAATCTGAGCTTTTTTTTTGGCGCGGTGAAATCGACTCATCGCTTCCGCGCCTTTGAGTTGATCCAAAACAATGGATGGGCTCCTATTTTTTGACTCCCCGAGCTTCCTGTGCCTCATCTTGTTCCGCCCCTTAGAGTTCCAGAAAAAACCGGAGGGACTTGTTTAGACCTCTGCTTCTTCCTTTACGGCCGGAGGTTCCTGTGCCTCATCTGCCAGTACAAGTCCAGCGCCTGCCGCCATTCTCCGCCTTTCTCACAGGCGCTGATGCAGGCCCCGAAGGTGATGCTATTCGCCTCCACCTTAACGCTTCCCGAACGGACGGCTTGGCTCGGTGAAACGGTTTATGTGGTGGCGGTTCCTGTGAGCTTCCCGCTCAACCCAGAAAATTGGGGAACCCTCAACGAAAGACGGACCCGTAGAATCACCTACCTTATATTGAGACACAGGCGAGGGAAACGGAAGGGAAACTTCAGGCCACACCTTTTTTGGAGACTCAGCCCTTTTATCTTCCCTCTAAAACCCAACTGGGACGGTACCTAGAGAAAAAGCAAAAAAAATACCTCATCCTACCAGGGACCCCTTGTACAACACGGAAAGAAAAAAAAGGAGAAAAAAACGACCCCGCGCGCCCAGGTGTGCGCGACCTGCATCTTCCCCATGGCGTGGAAGAGCCGCAGCGCGGGCTGCCACTGTCCCGCGACCGCACAGGCCGAGACCGCGGAGGAGTAGGTGATCACGTTGGCGCGCGCCGTCTTCCTCCGCATGTCCTCTGTGCTCATGAACCTAGAACACGGATTTACCAAATGATGTTCTGATCTAAAAGCCTGTCATGTTTTTTTGGTTAAAAACGCATCTGTGTTTGGGTGGTTCAAAAGTATGGAACGTTTAAAGCCATCCTCTGGGTTAAAACCATCCTCTTGGCTTAAAATGAATATGGAGAAGGGTAAAAATAGCGTCCGTCCTCTATGGTCATTTTCTAGATCACGAATTTACCAAACAATGTTCTCATTTAAAGCCTGTCCTCCATGGTCATTTTCTAGAACACAGATTTACCAAATGAGTATGGGTCAAAATTCAACCACCAGGATATGGACCGCAGGTTTTAGTCTATGTTACCACTTACCAGGGTTCAATTTTGGGTACCTACTTTTGACCCACAGCCAAATGATGTTCTAATTTAAAGCCCGTGGGTTGAAACCTCTTGGGTTAAAATAATTAGGAGAAGGGAAGAAAAAACCGTCCGTGTTTGGGCGGTTCAAAAGTATGGAAAGTCAAAACCATCCCTCAACCGTTTGGGTCCGTTTGATTCAAAAGTAGGCGGTCCTCCAGGAAAAAAAGGGCGTGCTGCCACTGGCCGCCCCGCTCACAGGCCGAGATCGCCGCGCTATATGTGACCACCTGGACTTGGTTCGGCACCACAAACCAGTTGGATTCTCCAAAGAGCCCCTCACAAGGGTAGAAAGTTGGACCTCAGGAAAACAACTTTGACTTCTTCTACCAACTTTTTCCTCCAAAAGTGGTTGGGCCATTCTGAAGTGAGTGTAGCAACCCACCCTTTTCCGTTCTATTCCTGGTATTTCCCGAGAATCCATGGCACGACTTGCTGGCCTCCTTCCCTTTCGGCTCCAAAACCGCCCTCGCCTCCGCATCCGCCGAGGCGAAGAGGTGCAGCGCCACCTGCCAGGCCGAGGCCTTGGCGCAGGCGCTGATCAGCGAGGAGTGGCTGAAGCCGTTGGGCGAGACCTGCGGCGCCGGGCTTCGCCGTGGCTGGTGCCAGCTTTTGGAGCCAAAGCCTAGCTCTTTGGAGCTTGGTCTCAAGGGACACACCACGGAAAACCAAGCCAAAATGGGGAAAAATTCAAGATGGGGGAAGCCCAAGATATGGCCGGCGTCCTTTTGGCTTCTCTTTCAACCCAAAAAACATTAGGGTTTTATGACCACAAATAAGGACACACCCAATCGGAAGTTTGGATTGGCTTGGAGGTCAGGATTTGGGCGGCTTCCCATGAACCCTCTACAAGAGGGGGTCAAATCCCCAAACCATTCAGGGGTTCCTGAGATGGTGGAAGCCACCCGCAAGAGTCCTGGAAAACTTGTCCCATGTGGTTCCCCTTTCGCCATTGCGGAACTTTCGCAGAGAATGGAAGAGTCCAAATATAGGATACGTGTGAAAACAAAAAGTCTCCCAAATTGGTGGTTTTCACATGTGCCCTGCTGAGAGCCAGCAAAATGAAGCTTAGACCCTTCTCATAGCCAAGTCTGAAGATTGGGAACAATACCTTCTCCAACTGGGACCCCTCTACTTGAAAGGGAAGTCAAATTCCATGGCCCCTCCTGACTGCTTAGCAACAGCTGCCTGTGCGGCCAACATGGCCTCAAACAGCGCCAGAGATCGTTGCCAATGCAGCCCCCGGCCACCGGCGCTGATCGCTGCTGAGTAAGAAATCACGTCGGCCTTGATCTCGGTCGCACGCATTGCGCTGAACAGCGCCAAAGAGATTTGCCACTGGTCGCCCTTCTCGCATGCACTCATGGCCGCATTGTGAACAAAGTTGTTGTCCTTGATAGGCATCTTCTGAAAATCGCTGAACAAATGCAAGGCGTGCTGCCATTCTGCGCTCTTCTCACAGGAAGTGATGGCACTGCAATAAGTGATGGAACTTGGCGCCTGCTTTGACTCTGCCATCGCCCTGAACAAATCCAGAGCCACCTGCCATTGGCCCTTCACCTGGCAGGCGCAAAGTGTTGAGTTGTAGCTGGCGGCGGTTGCTTTGATCCCTGCCTTGGGTATTGCGAGGAAGATCCCTAGCGCCACTTGCCATTCTCCGGGACCCTTGCATGCTGCGATGGCGCTGTTGTAGCTGACAACATCCAGAGGAATCAGCCCATGCATGTCGGAAAACAAGGCTAAGGCATCCTGCCATCTAGACACGCGGCCATAGGCAGCGATAGACATGTTGTACAATGGGAGACTTGGATGGATCTCCTCCTGCCGCATCTTGCGCAGCAGCTCTCGCATCACATCTGGACGCTTTGCTTGTGACAGCTTGTGGAAAGTGCCAGTGGCTGAGCCCGGGCTGCGTCGCCACCGCGTCAGGTTCCGCGCGAAGATCTCAGACGCCTCTGCCTCGAGCAGAAAGCTGGGAGAGTCCTGCCTGGTACGAAGTGCATTGGCCAAAGCTTTTGCTCCATTGCCGGAATTCACAGGCATTACGCGCAAGTGGGATGCGCCCCCGTCTGGTGTTGACCCCTGATTCTGATTCAAGGCCAACAGTTCAATAGGGAAACCACCTCCAACTTACTGGATTTATACCTCAAAATGGTGAGGTGTCTACATCTCACTGACCACTGAGGAAATCCAACTGATGGATTCTTCCTCTGACAAATCACGGGTCAACACCCAAGGAAGCTTCCCAAAAAAACACAACCGGCCGCCTGGAGCCGACGGCGCACGCTCTCTTCCTAGACGAAGCCTTCCTTTGCAATGGCGCCCGTATGTCTATCTTAGGGTGGTTATAGAATAGGGTTCTTGTAGGAGCAGTCTGTTTTCTCAAGCCTTCATATTTCACCACTGCCAGTTCCTTCCGGAAAACACAAAAAGAAAGGAAACTACTTCCAGAAGGGATATGCGTTCCAGCAGGAAATTGCTTTGGTGAGAAACCGAATCGCCCAAGGCTCTGCAGCCAGTCGAAGGGCAGCTCTTCGGTGGGTAACCCCATCGCCAGCACCGTCGCCTGGGCTCCAACCGGCCAAGAGTCGATGACCGCAAGTTTCCTTTCGGTCGCCGGATTCGAATCCGGCAAAAAGGGGTTTCCCTTTGAGTGGGGAACCACAAGGAACAATTTGTTTCGTGCTAAAGGGAGTGGCGTTGGAAGCACCTATTTGGAAAAAGGACGCTCTTGGATGTTGAATGAAGGAAGCTTCAAAAGGGAACCAACAAGTGCTGCGGGGCGTCCCCGATGGTTTTGGAAAGGAGGCGTGGCGATGGCAAGCGCGGTCATGCTTTCAGCGCGGGGAGTGGCGATTGGGAGAGGGTCCGCCGTCGGCAACATCAGGCGCAAGCCCGACAAGTTCTCGGCCAGTGAAACTGGATAACGTTCCAAGAGGGCCTCATTTCTGAACTTGGGACAAGCTTGTCCTACCAAGTTGGGCCCAAACATTTTACCAAAGGACCGCCCTAGAGAACACACAGCGCGATGTTGAGGGGATATGATGCAG